GCAAGTTACCAAATGATATTAGAGTACTGGTTGTACATTTCATCACCTAGTTAATGGCATGAATGAGAGTACGGGTTATACATTTCATCACCTGGTTTGTGGCATGAAGGAGAGTACGGGTTGTACATTTCATCACCTGGTTAGTGGCACGAAGATGAGTTCTTTCTTCACCTAGTTAGTGGCATGAGTGACAAGTTGCCAAATGATATTAGAGTATGGGTTGTACATTTCATCACCTAGTTGGTGGCATGAATGAAAGTACGGGTTGTACATTTCATCACCTGGTTGGTGGCATGAAGATGAGTTCCTTCTTCGCATTTCATCACCTGGTTGGTGAGAATAAGGGCAAGGTGTTGAGGCACATTGTAGCAAGTGTCGAAGACACAAAGTATGTTGAACCTTTTCGAAGCACAGTTAGCTTATGTATGGATGTGTTGGAATGTATGATGTTTATGTATGAATGTGTTGGAATGTATAATGTTTATGTTGATTGATATAAATGATGCTTATGAATGTTTTGCTATACATGAAGGGATCCATGCTTTTGATACGTGAACCATGTTGGTTGTAACACTTAGTATCACATACTTTGTGTCAAAGTACGCATGTTGAAGCTCTGAGTTAGAATATAAAGGTAGGTCAGTGTAGACCAAGTGTTCCAGTGCTAGGAACGTAAAAGACTCAAAAGAAGTTGTCTGAATTCCCTCATCTTTAAATATTTGCCGAATGGCTTGTGTGACAAAAGATCTCAAGCGGTTGAGAGTCAAAACATTTGTAATGTGTATGCCTTCTTATAATAGCACTTCCTTCAGTACCTAGTCCTCCACTTTGAAAGAGTGAGGCTTGGCCCCATAGTCATAATAGTCAATGGTACATTCACCCCTGGTTGTCTTGATACGAACTTTTATCCCTCTTGTTGTAATGGGCTTGCTGAGAGTGAAAATCTTTCCTCTTACCAAGAGACAGATACGTTTGGTGACTTAGCGAGTAGCTAAATGAGGTAGAAGATTATGCAATGGGTGTCTGAATGGTCAATATCTCCTCACTTGGTAGAACTTGACTTCTATTTCCTACTTATTGATAGGGGTTAACCATATGAGGGTTCCCTTGGTATATCATTGCTTCGGCGGAGGCATGGTTGTAAGCCTGTGCCATCACCTCAGAGTAAGTCTTCCAAGTGTTGGCATTGATCATGTACTTGAAGAAACCGTGAAGGCTTTAAGGGCGGTCTTATGATCTGCCTCAGTGCAGCGAGAATACTTATGGCTGAAGCGATCGGCATACTCTCGTAATGAACTCTCGTAATGACTCGTCCAGTTTCTGGCGAATAGTGTACAAATCATCTGCAGAATGCAAATGATCTGTCTAGAAGATGTGCTGAGAGACAAACAGTTTCCTCAATTCCTCAAATGAGTCTACTGTCTCAGGTGGAAGACGACAATACCAGTTTAGAGCTCTGCTAAAGAGGGTGGAGGGGAAGCGAAGACATCGCTCTACGTCGTTGTGCATCCAATATGCCATGGTGGACTCAAAGAGGTTAAGATGTTCAATTGGGTCTTCCCTTCCAGTATAGAGTTGTAAACCAAGCTTTTGTTTTTGTCTTCGCTTGAAGGAGGTGTCGAGAATCCTTCTTGTAAGAGGGCCAGGCCTGGGTTGGTTCCAGTCAGGTATCTTGGCCTGACGTTCGGCCTTTAACTTGTTTACTTCTTTAAGGAGCTATAGGACAAGAGGGTCCTGAGTGGAGTCATGTGCCACTGGAATTTTCTTTCGTAAGTCTCCATCGCCTCTTGGAAGTAGGAAAGTTTGAGCAAGGGTGTGTGGTTTTTTCTTGGACTCGCGGTATTGACTTCTAGGGCGAGTCTGTCAGAATACCTCAGAGTCCCTTGTACCTTCATGTTCCTCTGGGACCTGTCGTTCCTTCCCTAGATTGGCAGCTGGCCTGGGTCGTAGGAAGGGACCGAGTCTTTCAGAAACCCTTGAGTCATTAATCTTCGAGCATATGTGGAGGAGATTCTCTCGACGTTGCTTTAGGAAATCTCGGCAGTCACGATAAACAGCTTTCGATCATTCCAACCCTTCTGCAAGGAGGTGTTTTCCTTCATTTCTTGTACTTCGGGTCGAAGCATCTGGGTTGAGAGAAGTCTCATGTTGATCAATGTTTTAATGATTAGCTAGTTCCTCATCAGTGATGCCCATGTCGAAGGGAGGTGACCCTCCGTGTTGGGGGGCACCCAGATGATGGTCGATGTCCACAGGGGCAACGAGCTCGCGTGTTTGAGTACGCCTAGTTTCGTGGAGTGTCTCAAAGAGCTTTTCATACTGCTCTTGGGGGACCTCATTCTTCATTGTTATCTTGTTGTTCTGAGCTTCTAGCTCATTGACTTTAGCTTGAAGAGCAACCCTCTTTCCTTCCTTCTTTCGTTGCTATGCACTAGGTGCAAGAAGAGTGTCATTCTGTGTGCTGTGGCTTCCTTCGCTCCCCATGTTGGAGAGGGATGCCTAGTCAAAATAGAGTGTACGAATGGTGGAAACCAGCTTGGCAAAGCTGAACAGAGTGGGAATAAGTGTCGTTCCCACAGACGACACCAAATGTTGATGCACAAGTCAGCGAGGACTTTGGTACAACAGAAAGTGTTAAGTTTGTGACCTTCGCTAGATTGCTCTGGTCATTAGTGTGGATAAAATGTAAATGGATAGAGACAAGGAAGCAAACACAAGATGCACGTGGTTCACCCAGATTGTCTACATCCACGGAGTAGAGGAGTTCTCATTAATTGTGAAGGGTTTACACAAGTACATAGGTTCAAGCTCTCCTTTAGTGAGTACAAGTGAATGATTTAGTACAAATGACATTCGGAAATATTGTGAGAGAATGATCTCTATTTATAGAAGAGAGTTTCTAGTTTCATTCTGACATTGACACGTGTCGTGTTGTGATTGGCTTTTGATGTTGACACATGTCGCGCTATGATTGGCTTCTGATGTCGACACGTGTCGCGCTGTGATTGGCCTCCTGGTTGAACGGAAACTCTTCTGGGTCCTTGATGGTATAACGTTGATCGGTGCTCAGTAGTTTCGGGATTGATTAAGTATGGTACAAACAAATGTGAAATTCATCTCAACACGTCTCCTCACGTGTAGTAAATTTTCAAACCTAACATGTAGACAACATAAATTTAGTGAACTGGAGCACGTCTGACCATTTGGCTTTACTCATGAGACTTGCTCTAATACCATTAAAGAGTTGAGGTTTCAATATAAATCAATGGGGCAATATGAGAAGTAATTCAACCACATATATAAGACCATGTAAGATCCATTTTCCCATCAATGTAGGATTCATTTTCAACTGACCATGTATCCTATTGTGATATAAGTTTAAGGTACTTCTTTTTGGGGTTTATGATTCTTTATTTACCTCCAATGGAGCAGTGATAGCAAATGAAATTATGTATTCCTTCTAATCTCTATTAGGATCATTTACCTTTCACTCGTGACAAGTTGAAGACTGAAGTGGATCCATCAACTGCACCTGAAATGGATGGTATGTATCTTATTGTCTATTAAAAGTATACAGACATTGTTGGTTATGTCTTGATACACATTATGGGAGGGGATATTTTTAACTGTACAATGGACGCCTTATTTCCAATACTGTTCGCTTATGCGTACGAGTTTAGGCTAATCGGGTTCTTTACTGTCAATAGGCTCAAGAGAGTGCTTCTGTATGTCATCTCTGAGTTCCAGAGTACATTCATCTCTAACAAAAGGACTTTATTAGACAATGTTCTTGCAGCATTTTAGTCGGTTTATTGTTTGAAAATGAAAGGTAAATCTGGAAGAAAAATTGGTTTTGAAGCTGGATATGGTGAAGGCTTATGAAATATTTGAATGGTCTTTTTTTTGAGAAAATGATGCAACTTATAGGGTTCGCGTTACAAAATCAACAGGTGGCTTTAGAGGTGGTTAGAGACCATATCGGAGCTTTTAGAGGTGTTGTACCAATGAGAGTTCCAAGTCTGATCTCTGTCTTAGCTATTGAACTTTACGTGATGGTTGGAATTTGCAATAGATATGCTTCATTTATGCCTCTGATCGTCGAATTGGATTCAGCTATAGCTATGCAAATGTAATCTGGAAAATGAGTGTTTTGCTGCAAAAGGGGTGTATGAGGACGAAGTTTGTCGTACGTTGCATTCTACAACAACACATTCTTGTGAGTCATATATCTAGAGGGGAAGTAGGGCTTCTCATTCTGAATGGATGTCGACCCTCTAAGGCTTATGGATAGTGTAGTGAAGGATTCCATTGTGGTGCATGAAGCCATAAGTTTTGTATTATTGTTCTCATTTGCATGAGTGTGCTTTGTTCTCTTTACTGAAATATTTTCCGATTCTTTATTGTTAAGTACAATGTGGGATAACATATATATATATATATATATTCAGAGTTTAGGGCTGACATACTAGTGGGGAACAACAATTAAGTATCAAACAATGTACTTCCCATGCATACTAAACAAACTGGAACTAAAATGAAGTAATACATAGTTATTCACAACCATGGATCGCGGTGAAAATTTTGGAGCATGAAACTTGGAGCCCAAACAAACTCACGAATAATAGGGATGGAAGTTATGATACACTATTTGAATAAGGAATTATTTTATTGCAAGTAGCAAGGAAAGATGGTATCTTGCTTCTGTAGATGGACAAAAGAATATTAACTAGAGGATACGGAAATTTTCTACAACAGTTGATTTATAGTATGTTTACTAAGTCTAGAATACAGATATTTAACTGAGGGATACTGTTAGGGAGACCAAATTTTTATACCAAATGATGTGGTTGAAGTGTTGATTATTAACGTGCTTATTTCATATTGATGACCCATTATTTGGTTTGTAAATTTGGTTTAAAATTTTGTCTTCCTAACATTATCCTTAACTGAGTCATAAATGAATAAACAGTTTCAGCATTTCAAAAAACAAGGCTTGTAACTGGCCCGAAAATACTATTGTCACAATATTATTCATAGATGTAATGTCAGAGCACACCAAATGTCTACATGATCTCTACCCTGCTATTGAAAAACTCACACAAACTGCGTATCTCACATATGTCTCTCTTATAACTTGGGAAGAAAATATCTACCCAAAAGATCAAGAACTGCATATATAATCTACAAGTACTAATCATTTGTGAACCTCTCTTCTGTCTTCCCTACAAACCAAACTAGCTTGTTATCTTTAATATATAATTAACTAAGAATCTAAGGGTGCTTCTTCTTTGTAATTCCAATCCTCATGAGAGCTAAATAACTGATGAACCTGTAACCCATAACCATAATGACCAAAGCAACCACAGCACTCGATTGTCCATCGAGCCCAGCAGATTTTATAGTTGGGAATTCTCCAACTGAGCAAACCCTACCATCACATGGGTAGGTCTCACTTTTCTTGTACTGAGAACCCAGAAGGAGCCTGTAGGAGTAGTTGCTTAGTGATATGTATTTGATCCAAGAGATAAAAGCAGGAACATGTTGAACATAGTAGCCACCAGCTAGAAGAAATGACAACATGATGACTGATGCGAGAACCGTCGCCTTTTTCTGGTCCATCACCAAAGCCCCAAGAGCAAGCCCCATGCCTTGAGCTACTAAAACACTGAGGAGCAGAGCGAACAAGGTGTGGAAAAAGTTTGCAGCCGACGGTTTGAGGCCTGCCATCCAGTATGTTATTGTGACAAATAGGGTTGGAAGGACAAGTTCCATTGGGAGGTCAGCAACAATCCTCGACATGAAATAGGAGGAGAGTCTGTATGTGCCTGAAACTCTTTCCTTTTCAAGCATCTTGCGCTCTGGTGGAAAGGTGAAGATTGCTTGGAAGAGAGGGAAGAAACCCCAAAATCCAGACATAAAGAAGAGAAGCCCAATCTGCACGTAAACACAGCCACAAAAGATTATCAAGTTGCTAAAAAATGGTTATAATTGAGAAGCTTAAGCATTGCTTTAATTAAGTGATAAATTATGTCGTGCTATGTGCATAAACCCAATTTTCAAATTTATTGACATGTCTACAAATCAAGTTAGTAGTAGAGATTTAGTAATATTTTTGTTTGGGTTTAATGTGCAACCTATATTTTCCACTATTGTCCCAAACCCAGAAAAGGGACCACTTTTTTTTTCTCTGAATAATATCAATCAAAGTGAAGGAAGAATGTTAGTAGATCACAGTAGCGGAACCATAGTTAATAAATCACATTACATTCGTGATCAAGTTAAGTTGACTCACCAACTGTTCATAATAATCGATGTAGTACACTGATGTGATCTAAAGATGTTTCACCGATATTACAAATGTGGTCTCCCTACTTTAAGTGGATCCTTATTAACACTAAAATCTTGACCTAAATTCCTTTGAAACTGGATATTGCAAATTCTTGAAAAAGGAAAGGATGGAATTTTTAGTACCTGATCCTGCAAGTGTGCAATATCAGATTGCCACCATAGTAGGCCAACAAGAAGAGCCACAGCCAACACCTGACCAATCTTGAGACCAGAGAAGGCCTCATGCCTCCTCTCTTTCATTCCTCTCCTCAGCAACACAGAGAATTGCTGCCACCAAGTTGTGGGCCATTTCCCAAACTTCTTGTTTTGTGCAGATCCATCTTGAAATTGACTGGAGTTATTGGTTTCTTGAAGTTCAGTTTTCAATCTATCTAAAAGGTTATTCTTGTAGGCCAAGGCCAGATTCTGCTTCACCTTGCTCTTATTGTCAACTGATCCATCAGGTGCCAGACCTGCAGAAAATGTAACGTTTATTACTTTCACAAAATTTCACAAACATCGGATGTCCACTTGCAAACACTCTTGGCCAAAATATAAGAGCAACTTTTATGACACAGGTATCTAGACTATCGTGGCTTTTAGTGTTTATAAAATGCTACGTACGTAGGACTATAAATTACACATTGCGTTGTATGATTGACACGAATTGCAACACTGTATACCTGTACCATTTAAATCTTTCTCCAAAAACCTACATGTATAGTTTGTAAACTTGCACACACGTGCATGACAGGCGTCTATTGCATTTGTAACATGTACACTTGCATGCATGTCCACTTGTAGAGTTGCAAGCAAGAGATTAACTTATGGAGATGACAATAAATGTTTTTTTCTCATGAATTTTAATAATAAAAATTTGTTCCCCAAGCATATCTGCTGACAATGTAACAGATATTTCCAAGACATTCTATAGGTTTTATGAGGGTCTCACCGATCGATCCTAATGGACCGAGAAATTTACCCTAATTTGGAAGTTCAAGCAATTACTTGACTGCTGAAATAAGTAATTAAACAGATAATTCGTTAAATTTGAAACATACCATTAGCAAGGTCCAACAGAAAATCTGCAGGATTCATAGCGATCAAAGGAACATAGCCAATGCCCGAAAAATAATCCATAACCTCTGACGCCTTCCCAAAATACAAACAGTTTCCTTCCGATAACAACATCACCTTATGAAACAAGTAAAACAGCCTACTTGAAGGTTGATGTATAGTCATCACGATCGTCCTCCCACCACTTGCCAAATCCCACAGTGCCGAGACAATCCGCTGAGCCGTCGTTGAATCGAGCCCCGACGTCGGTTCATCCAGGAAGAGCAAGCTGGGATTTACGAGTAATTCTTGTCCTATACTAACCCGTCTTCTCTCCCCGCCCGAAATACCCCTCATGAACTGATCACCAACGGCACTGTTCTTGCATTTGGTTAATTCGAGCTGTGTAATCACTGCATTGGCTTGCATAACCTTGTCTCTCTTGGATAGCGTGTTGGGCAAGCGAAGAAGTGCCGTGAAGACTAGGGTTTCTGTCACCGTTAAATGCGGGTAGAGAAAATCGTCTTGCGTTACAAAGCCGGTGTTTCTTTTCATTGTGTTTGTGAAGGTTTTGTTGTTGTAGGTTATGGAACCTCCTAGTCGGCCTCCAAGTCTGCCTCCGAGTGCGGATAGGAGGGTTGTTTTGCCACTTCCGGAGGGGCCGAGCATGGCTAAGATTTCGCCGGGTTGAACTAGGCCGTTGACGCTGTTTAAGATCACTTTCTCTTCGGACTTGGTGCTCTTCTTAGCTTTGATTTTGTAAACCACGTCTTCAAACTGTGATTTTGATCGAAATTTGAAAACCCATTAGCTTAATTATGTAAATGGTATTAGGCTTTTTCAATAAATAAAAAATGAAAATCGGATCCTGATCATCAATCTCGAGCTATTCAAATAAAAAATAAATAAAATGCTTAATTAATTTTTTAGTCCCAACCCATTTCCCCCTATATATATTTACCTTCACTGTGACGGGTCGAATGGCATTCTTGAAGATACCGGGGGTTTCACTGTCTGGTCTTCTATCAGCCTGAGACTCTAAATCCACCACCATCCCTTGCTCCATGGTTGTTTAACTTAAGATCAACGAGCTTTCTCCCTCTCTAAAACCCTAATCAAACCACTAGATTTTTTTTTTCTGGTTTTTTGGGAGTTACGAAATGAAAGAGAAGATCCAATCAATAGCAGCTGGTTGATCTCTCTCTTTCTGTCTCCCTCTTCGAAACTATAAATTTCTGGGCAAGCTATACAGAGAGTGCATATATAATTAATATGGAAAGAAAGAAAGAAGGAGAAAACTAATTAAATTAAGAGAGTCGATCAAGTCATGCAAGAGAAATGAGAAATAACAGACGAGCCAGGCGGGGCCAGTTTGATGGGTTCGCTTCTTCAAATTCTTGTTTAGTTTCCGTGATCACAGCTACGTACTCTATTGTTTTCTGTTACACTGAGCCAGCACGTGTTTATATATTGCATTAGATACCAGGCCAATCTCAACAATCCCACTACGACTCTACTTCTTATACCTTTACGACTTCTATTTATCATTTTATTTTCCCAGAACATATAGTCGAAAATTTACCAATGAGTACTTCACAATAATGCCAAATTTAACCACAATGGTTAACAAAAAAACCTATCGTCTTATGACAGTTTTGAATGGTTGGCTTGTGAAGTTTTCGTACATGTGGTAACTGTTTAGGGGTTTACTATATTGTCTTGTTTTGAGCAAATTCACCTCCAGATCATTTTCTTGGTCACTGGAGTTTTATACCCAATTGGCACCTATGTATTGTTTGAAATGATTAATGAAACACCAATCTATCGTTGCTTGTCAAAAAAGAAAAACCTTTTTACTTATCTTGTGTATACGGTGGAGCTATTTATACAGACCCATGGGTTGTTTCTCACACACTTCTCTGAAATTTTCTGTTGTATCGAATGAATTGATAAAAAAATAAAGGGTAAAGTACAAAAAACTACCTCAACTATTGGTGTCACGACACTTTCATACCTCATCTTTTAAAATTGACAATGTCATACCGCATCTTACGAATTTGTGACAATGTCATACATCCGTCAATTTTTCTAGGGGTGCGGCATGGCCCGACATGTGTCCCACTCACTAATCCAGCTGGATAAAAAAATAATTAAATATATTTTTAATAATTAAGTATTAAAAAATTAAGAATAAAAAAACAAAAACAAAAAAATTTCCTAGGGGTGCGGCATCCCCTTTCCTTCTCTCCACCAATTTCAATTTTTTTTGTTCTTCTCTCTTCTCCTTCTTCTTCTTCCTCCTCTTCTTCTTCTTCTTCTTCTTCTCCTGGGCCGAAATTGGATTTGTCACTTTTTTTTTTTTCGTTCTTCTTCTCTCTCCTTCTTCTTCTTCTTGGGCCGAAACTGGGTATGAATTTTTTTTTCTTTTTGTTTTTTTGTTTTGTTTTTTGTTTATGGGTTGCAGGTAGAGGGAAAAGGGGATGAAGATGAAGATGGGGAGGAGACAGAGAGGGTTCTTCTTCTTCTTGGGCCGAAACTGGGTTCGAAATTTTTTATTTATTTTTTGGTTTCTGGGTTGCAGGTAGAGGGAAAAGAGGAAGAAGATGAAGATGGGGGAGGAGAGATGAGTGCGCGTTGGGTTTGGGGGGGGGGGGGACGAACTGGGTTGGGTTGGGCTTTTTTCTTTTTTTTTTCTTTTCTCCTTCTTCTTCTTCCGCACCCCCTTCTTCCTTCTTCCTTCTTCTGGGTTCCAGTTTGGGTTTTTTTTTTTCTCCTCCTCCTTCTCTTCTTTCTCTTCGCCTCCTTCTTCTTCTTCCGTGGGCGGGCCAAGAGGGGGGTTGAGTTGATGGGTTTTCTTCATCCTCTTCCTCCTTCTTCTTCTGTTTTTTTTTCTTTTTTCCGGGTTGCAGTTTCCATTTTTTTTTCCTCCTCCTTCTTCCTTCTTCTTCTTCTTCGGTTCTTCCTCCTTCTCCTGGGGGGGGGGGGGGGGGTGGGTTACGGGGCGGGGTTGGGTTTTCAATTTTTTTTTTCTTTTTTTTTGGTGTTAAAGATTAAGCAGGGAAGATCTAAGAGGGAGGGGGAAGGGACAACCAAGGTTTTTTTTTTTTTTTTTTTTCAATTTTTTTTTTTTACTTTTATTTATTATTTTAATATTTAAAAAATATTAAATATATTTTTTAGTTTTTAATAATATTTTAATAAATTTTTAATAGAAAGTGGGCTCCGAATCAAGCCACATCAGCACTTAATAGAAAAACTAATAGAAAAATTGACAAAGGTATAACATTGTTATAAATTCGTAAGATGCGGTATGATATTGTCAATTTTAAAAGATGAGGTATGAAACTGTCGTGACCTCAATAGTTGAGGTAGTTTTTTGTAATTTACCCAAAAATAAATGAACAAAATTAGTTGAGTGGAAATATTCTCCCTCCGTGGTAATTAATTAAGTGGAAAAATAAAAAAATTATAGCGACTTGTGTGGAGCAAAAAGGAAAGGGATCCTCTCCGGATCTCTTCCTCCTAATCCACCAAGTCCAGGGATCCAGACCGTTGAAATTTGATCCAATGGCTAAAGTTATTATAACTTTTAAAGTGAGCCCCTGTTTGTAGCCGTTGGATTAAATTTCAACAGCGCAAATCCCCGAACTTGATGGATTAGGAGGAAGGGATCCTGAGAGGATTCCTTTCCAAGCAAAAAGACGCTAGGCTAAAAGAATGGTGTGTATTTTATATATGTGTGCATGTGTGTGTGACCACTTTTGCGTAGAATATTCTTCAAATTAACTGGATTTCGGATTTCCTGGTTACTTCAAGAAGGAATTTACTGGATTTTCCTGGTTAGTTCAAGAAGTGGATCAATTACCGTTGTTTTTCAGCCTTTTCTTCTTCACTGAGTATATTAACATTGCCCACACTCAAATTAATACTTAAAGATACTTCCACCATTGAACTTTTAACAAACTTTATAGTTAGATAAATCACTTTTTTTTCTTTGACAAATGATATTATCTACACTAAAAGGGTGGGGAAATGGCTAAGCCTCACAATGTGTTAGCAATAATGTGGTTCAAATTCACTATTGGCGAGAGTCGAATATAAGATTTCTCACATACAAATGGAGGAATATTATTAAACTGTAGTACTAAGTGACAGATAAATCACTTACAAATAAAAAACAAAATTAGTTGGAGACGATTTGGTATGCGTTAAATAAAAGCAAACATGATTTCAATTTGGATAGTAACTAACTAAAACCCATTAATATTAGCAAGATTTCCTTATACTCATTAATTTAGTTAATGAAGTGTTTGTTATTATATATAATCAGATACTAGCCTCAATTAATTGGCATGTGAAAATTTATATATATATATATATATATATATATATAGGAAATTTAGGCCTGGCAATTCCTGACACGACCCGATAACCCGACACAACACAACACGAAATTAACAGGTGTTCGGGTCAACACGATAACGAATCAGATCGTTATCGGGTAACCCGATAAGCACCTATTAAGATAACGGGTTGATTCAGGTATACACGTGGGTAACACGATACACAATAAGCAGAATATTAATTTTATAATTTTATAACCCTAAAAAAGTACTATAATAATAATAATAATAATATATACTATAATAATTATACCCCCAAAATATTAACTATAATAATTATATATATATATATATATATTAAATTTTATAAAAACTATAATAATTATTAATTAATATGCAACCATTGATTCCATAATTCCATTCCATTCATGCCGCACCCTTTGAAGAAAAAGGGAGGGAAAATGAAAATTATAAGAAAAGCTGAAAAGGAAACAAAAAAGAGAGGGAAAGATGGGTAGGCTGCCGCCCTTTGAAGAAAAAGAAGGGAGGGAAAAATGAAAATTAATAAAAGTGGTGAGAAATTTTTTTTTTTAAAGTATATTAACTTTTTATCACACATATCCCAGTATTTTTATAATGACACGTGATGTACTACTCCGTGGGCCGGACAATTATACGTACAAAATAAATAGATTTAAATCTACTTAATAAATAAATAAATAAATAAATATATATACCATTGAACTTGATGGGATACGAATTATACGAAACTAATTTCAACGATCCAACCGTCAAATTTGTTTGTATATTCTTCGAGATCATATCAACAAAAAATCGTAAAAAACAAACATTCAGAGATCAAGTAACCGAACAAAACTTTTCGATGGTTATAAAATGAAAAATCACGATTTAACGGTTATTTTAACTCCGATTTTGATTATTTTTTATAGCTACACTCCTTAATCCTATATGAATACAATGAATGAATTCGATCTTCAATTTAAAATTTTTACACTACTGGATACCACAAAATCTTATGTTATACTTAATGAAAGTATGAATAAACTCTTAAGTATTAGTGAATCTATTGTTTTGATGGGATACTCATTCTACGAAACTAGTTTCAATGATCCAACCGTCAAACATGTTTGTATATACTTCGAGATCGCATACGCCAAAAATTGCAAAAAACAAACATTCAGAGATCAAGTAACGGGACAAAACTTTTTCGACGGTTATAAACGAAAAAAATCACGATTTAACGGTTATTTTAACTCCGATTTTGATGATTTTTTACAAGCTACACTCCTTGACCCTATATGAAATACAATGAATGAATTCGATCTTCAATTTAAAATATTTACACTAGTGGATAACACAAAATCTTATGTTATACTTAATGAAAGTATGAATAAACTCTTAAGTATTAGTGAATCTATTGTTTTGATGGGATACTCATTCTACGAAACTAGTTTCAATGATCCAACCGTCAAACATGTTTGTATATACTTCGAGATCGCATACGCCAAAAATTGCAAAAAACAAACATTCAGAGATCAAGTAACGGGACAAAACTTTTCGACGGTTATAAAAAGAAAAATCACGATTTAACGGTCATTTTAACTCCGATTTTGATGATTTTTTGCAACTACACTCCTTGACCCTATATGAATACAATGATTGAATTCGATCTTCAATTTAAAATATTTACACTAGTGGATAC